TTTCTTGCTGAAGCATGAAATTCTTAGTTGAAAGCAATAGCTTTTGACTTAAAAAAAAATGGAGATAATTTTGGTTAACTATAATACAGCAATAAGCTTTAGAGCCAAACTTTGGAATACCTTCATGAGACTCCTAAGCCACTAAACAGGTTCAGCAGTGTTTCTAGCTTAAGCATGTCAATGTCTCTACATAGGCACGATGTATTTTAAATAATTTTAATTTTAGATCAACGTAATCATTTTGTTTCTAAGTACTGGGCCTGGAAATTGTATACTTTAGTGGTGGGGAAAAATTACTGGTTTTACATTTTTACTTTCATCATTTATTCTGTAAAATAGGAAGGTAATGACTGCTTGTTGGGCTTGATGGGAGGGTTAAATGAGGTGATGCACTTTAAGGACTCTGCCTGGCTCCACAATGTGCCACGCTTGTGTAAACCTTTCTTTAAGGGGGAGATTTGCAAAGGAAACACTAAGCCTAGACGTGGTGTTTTGCACAATTTGAATTACTTCTTGACACATTGCCATGTGATGACACACCCCTTGGGGACGACTGTCACTATCAATGTGACCTGTCACAGAAGCTTTATTTCTTTTGGTTATGTTTGATTTGATGACTGGTGTAAAGATACAGAAACAAATTTGTCTGCGAGTTTCATCCAGCCTGTTTTGCTGTCTGGGAATGTATGTACTCTTACAAATCAATAAGTCAAACAGGGCAGGAGAGAAGGAGATAAGAGATATGAATGAGAAAATCATCAAAGAGGAAATCTAAATGGCCAGTAAATATCAATATATAAAATGACACCACTTTACACAAAACATTTTCATGCTCCTGTGTCAGCGTGGTTAAACATTTCAGTGACTGAAATGTAAAGATAAGTTTTGGGAAATAGAGACTTACATATTTTTGTAAAAGAATCAAGTGAGTACAGACAAGTTTTTCTGGAATAATTTGTTACTGAATCACTCAGGAACTCATTTAGCAGTAAGTAACAGAAAATCAGGCTTATATTTCAGCTTAAACCAAAAAGAATCTGTTCTTCTCTTCTGACACACAGTCTGGAGGTGGGCTGCGACCAGCTTCAGTTGAGAAGCTTATTGATAGCAGGATGGACATAACTGTGGTTCTCTTGGCTTTTCTTCATGTTGTAACCTAGCTACTACCTCTCCAAACATCACAGCCTCCTTCAGGGATGGGAAAAGGTGCAGTGCAGGTCATGTCTACCCCTTCTACCTGAAAGCAGAAACATTCCTAGGCCCCACCCAGCAAACTGTGGTGATGTTTAATTGAGCAGAACTGAGTCCCAAGGCCACCACAGCTGCAAGCAATGAGTGTTCTGCCTTCCAGTGTATGTTGTCTTGAGGCAAGAGGGGAGAAAATAATCAGAAATGAGTGGAAACAGGTGTTGGTTCAGCCAGTCAATAGTGTGGGCTACCCGTCTGTACCCCATGTCTACTTCTGGGTTTTTGTCCAAAAGAAATACTCTCATGTGAGCTCAGAGAAACGTGCAGAATTTTCACTGATGGCTACATTGCTTACAGTAGCAAATACTGGAACCATCCTAAGTGTCAGCAGGAAGCAGATGAGGCTCACATCAATACCATAGAATACTTCAAGGCAAATAAAAAAAAAAGTTAATCTAAATATATTAACATGTAAATTTTCAAGACTTTAAAGATTTATTTATTAATGCATACAGAACTGTGGTACAGGCCAGGGGTGCTCAGAGGGTTCATCAGAGTGGGGAGCAGAACAGGCAGATTGACAAAGTATACTGCTGTGGGAAGTAGCAGGTGAGACAGGAGAGGCCTGCTGCGCCATGTGGGTCACCTCCCTGGGCCAGGATCCAACTCCTGCTGCAGTGGCTGCGGACAGCTTCATAGTGCTGAGACTTAACCTCTTGCACCACCAGGAAGGGCCCTCAATTCTTTTTTTTTTTTAAGATTTATTTTATTATGCATACAAGAGCTGGGGTGTAGGCCAGAGATGCAGGGGTGGGGTGGGGGGAGGATGGGAGGATTTACCAGAGACAGACTGGGGAACACAACAAGCAGATGGACTGAAATACACTGCTGAGGGGAGCAAGGGGCGAGACAGGAGAGGTCTGCTGTACCATGTGGGTTAGCTCCCTTGCCAGGGATGGAATTCCTGTTGAAGCAGCTGAAGTTAGCTGCTTATGCTGTGTTTTAACCCATTGTGCTACCAGGAAGGGACCAATTTTCAGGACTTTTTTGAAAAGTGGGGGAGGGATAAATTGGAACAATGGTATGAACAGAACTATCCCATCTTTGTGTGGGGGGGAATCATACACATAAACTATATATATATCTAGAAGCACACAAAAAATAATCTGGGAGGAAATACTTCAAATTGATAACAATAGTTATTTCTGAGGAAAAGACTGAACTGGGAAGTGAGGGAACTTTCCATTTTTGTTTAAATATTAATGAAAATGTCCTTGTGTTTTACAGATAAAGATTTTTTGACATTAAAAAAGAAATTTCCCATAGTTGATTGGAGGGAAATAAGCAACTTAAGAGAATTGAATAATAATAAAGCCAGCAAAAATCTCTGTTAATATGCAATGAGCATTTCAACTCTAAACAGTTAATTATTTTGTAAGCTAATACACATCCCTTGATGAGATTTCTGCAGGCAAGTTTGTTTTGAAAGATATTTTGGCTCAAAATGCTAGGTACGCTTCCCCCAAATGTTTGCAACACTTAGATCAACTCAGAAACCTTTAACCTTTGGACTGCTAACAAAACTACAGCAAAGAGAATGCTCTTGGAAGCAAGAGTTATTTCAGATGCCAGAACAGATCTGAAGTAGATTCAGGCCGATTAACTTGTTTAAATTAAGCTTTACGTGGAGTTAACTGTGATTTTCCTTGCCCCTTAACCAGCTCCCCCACCCACTTAACATCCTGCAAAAACTGGTACAATAGCACAATGGGAATATGGGTGTTGGTTTAGAAAGGT